GAAGGAAGGAAGGAAGGAAGGAAGGAAGGAAGGAAGGAAGGAAGGAAAGATGGGAAGAAAGATGGAAAAAAGGATGGAAAGAAAGATGAAAAGGACCTTGGAGGTCTTCTAGTCCAACCCCTTGCTCAAGCAGGAGAACTTATACAATTCCAGATAAGCAGCCTCTTCTTAAAAGCCTCCAGTGATGTAGGACCCACAACTTCTGAAGGCAAAGCAATTGTTCTCCCTGGTAATTCTAGGTTGCTTCTCTATTTAGTATGTTCCCATCCACTGTTTCTTGTATTGCCTTCTAATGCTTTGGGAAAAAGGTTGACCCCTTCTTATTTTTGGCAACGCCATAAATATTGGAATACTATATGGCTCTCATGTCATGCCCAATCCTTCTTTTCACTAGATTAGCCATACTCAATTCCTGCAACCATTCTTCATATGTTTTAGCCTCCAAGGCCCCTAATCATCTTTGCTGCTTTTCTCGGCACTCTTTTCCAAAGTTTCGACATCTTTTTTATAATATGGTGATCAAAACTGGATGCAGTATTCCAGATGTGGTCTTTCTGAATGAGGCCCCTTGTCTGAATGAAGCGTTGCTTCATTCTGAACTAGCTTCATTTTTCCTACAGCCTCATTCTCCAATATCCGAATACATGTTAACCTATTAAGTTTAAATGTTCATGCTAAATAAAAGGTATTGAATAGTAAATTAACCAGGAAAGCAGTTGAGTCTACATTACAAGAAATGCATGGATTCATTTTAATGCATGTTGGGATAGGAAAATTTCCACCCAGTCCTTTCCTTCTTGAGAAAATAGCAAAAAAATAATCTGAAACATCACTAGAGAAGTATAGTCCCTGCTGCCACGTTATTTTTGTGCAAGGAGGGAAAACATAAATATCTATCCTGTCATCTTTATTTATTTATTTGGTGCCTTTGAGTCAATATTTACTCCTGTTAATTCATGAACAAGTCCCCGAAGTTTTCTTGGGACCAACACCCATAGTCTGGTGTTTTACTTACTACACCCAACTGACATTCTATCTTATTACTACCACCAATATTCATTGTTATTGAGAATACATGAAAAAAATGTTGGTTAAGGTACTCTTAAGCAAGAATTGCCTGTATTTATCATACCATTCAGTTTACCCTTAGCTAGCTACTATTCAGAATGCAAAGGATTCTTTAATAAATGCCTTGATGAAAATCCGGATAAATTATAACTACAGCATTTCCAGGACAGAGATTATTTAATTGGTATAATTTAGACTGGATGTATCTGTGACTTATATACGATCAATCATATAATCTGTTCTTCCTAAGTGTTATTATCAGATTAATTTGACTCTTTCAGGGTTTTCACTTAAATTTTCACTTTTTGAATATGACTACATATAACATTAACATTCCATTCATTATCTAAGGTGTTCCAAAAAATAACAAAGAGGGATTCAGCTCAACCATCAACAAGCTTCTTGGATGATGCCTGGTTATTTCATAAAAACTGGTTATTTTTAAATTTTTGCCAATCCCAAGTCTCAATTTGTCATATATTGTTCTTTGAAATGCCAGATAGAAAATATACTGTCTTGTTGGACTAAACTGAACTTGAATGTTTTTCCCTTTTCTTTGTTGTCTGCCTCCTTAACTGAGCAGTTGCTTTGCAGATTCTTTTCTATGACTTTGACAATATTTAAAGTTCTTTTTAACTTTTCTTTAATCTTTCATTAACTTTAGCCTAACACTCTCTCTTCAATTGTGGATGAATTGTATCTATTAATCTTTGGCAATGGGTTCCTCTATCTTTTTTCATTTATTTTTATTTTATTTTTGAGCTATTAAGATTTTTATTCAAATGTTAGTTTTTTTCTGCTTCCTTCCATTTTACCCCTTACTGAAATTGTTTGTAACCATCCTTTAGTATCTCCTTTTAAAAACCAAGTTCCTTCCACCTGTAGCTCCTTTGCTTATTAGCTTCTTCTGCCATGTGTGCTATGTGAAGACAGAGTCAGGGAGAGGGTGTGTGAAAAGGAGAATCAGCCCAGAATCAATACATAGCCACAAACAAGGTAACACATCCTCCCTTGACTGCCATTGTCCCTTATTTAACTCTAATCAACTGTTGACTTATTAGTTGAGAAGATTCCTGTGCATAGGCTTTTAGCAATAAATCAGTTATATTGAGCCTTCACATGTGGTCTTTTGTGCCTGACACTATGTCTCATTGCTTAAAATCCATGTGTAGGCAAATTGTCTATGAAGATTCTCATTTATACAGGTCATGGTTGTCCCAAAAATGCTTTTTCAAGAGGCCTTTCTTGTTTTTCTTTGAAGGCGTTTTATTTCTTATCTGAGAAGTTTCTTCAGAAATGCCTTCAAAGCAAAACAAGAAAGTCCAGTCGCCTCTTGCAAAAGCACCTTTGGAACATTTTAAGGTAGTATTCAATGATAATTACCTTTACTTTACCTTAAAACTAGGAAATCCAACATTAGATGGTCACTTTCTCCCAACTACCTACTAGTTTCACTTCTTCAGCTAAGTCTTTCCTTGACCAATAATATCAAATGTAGCTCATCCTCTTATGTGTTGTTCCACCATCAGCTTTTGCAGACCCTGAGAATTCTGCCAGCTGTAATCCAGAACGGTTAATAGTTAGACCCATTTGCGCATTGCAAAGAAAGATGCTTTGAACCCTGGAGAAAATATGGGCCACGTGTATTATAATTCTAATAAGATGTAAGGCTTTCTTTAAGGATCTGAGAACTGCTGGAATTTTATAAACCTGTTACTGCTTATCAGATTAACTTTAATCTTTTCATAAAAAGATCTGCCAAGTTTTATTTCAGTTTTAATGAAAATGTAGGAACAAGCAGTGATATGAAATCTCCCTGGCATGAACTCAAGAGAGAAAAGGAGAGAAAAGAGGCAGTATATAGAACAAGGTTTCTCAGCCTTGCCAAGCTGGCTGTGGAATTCTGGGAACTCAAACCAACACATCTGAATGTTGACATATTACTGGACTAGAAAAAGTCCAGGAAGGACAGCATACAATTCTTAAGAAGGCAAGGGGATTAAGACTATTCTCCTACTGAGGCTTTTATAAACACAAGTTACTCGCTAAACAAAGAGCACAACCTATCGCATTTAAACTATGCTGGTGTGTATACATAGGTCGTACAATCAATTCAAAGAGTATTACGATCCATCCAAACAAACTGACTGAAGATCAGGCTTAATGGACTGAGAGTCTAGAAACAGGCTGAGAAAAGACCCAATCAATTTCTACATTTACTAAAACTGATTACAGACAAAATAAAGAAATAGAAGCCACATCTGTTGATTAAGCTCTGACATAGTTTGGCCAAAGGCACAATTAAAAGCACACCCATCATTTTCTCCTCTCAGTCAGGTCATTAATAACAGAGGCACGATGGATTGGCGGGTTTTATTTCATAATTTTAAACATACTGCAGAGTTCTCAGCCCAAACCTTCTCTTTTGGTATGGTTGTTAAAAAGAACAAGGCTCAGAACATAACAAAGCAAAACAAATGACACAGAATTTTTATCCAGAGATGTGAGTGAATTTCCCCTCTCCCAAAATTCCTGTCTTTAGACTCCAAAAATCTTAGACTCCAAAGAGCCTGACACGTAGCTAGGCAGTGCATAGGTGAGTATACAGAAGGTTTCATCTTTATTTGCAGTCCAAGAATACTTTCAATTGCTAATTCTGAAGTTCTCCTTTAAAAAGGGTGAAAGTCTCTGCCAATAGTACCTGCAATCCTTTGGATTCAAAAATAGATTAAAGACGAATAAAAACAAAACACAGAAGTGGCACTCATAAACACACATAGTAGAAGAAGAGCCATGTTGGTCTATGTAGAATTGTGTCAAACTAATTACTTTTAATTTTAATTTTAAAGCTTAAGCTTTAATTTTGTACATAGGAGGAAATATAAAACCACTGCAAAAAGCCACAAATATTGCAATGTTTTTCCTTTTTTTAAAAAAAAACTCTGTGGATAGTCTTGTAGTCAAACTATCAACAGCAAAAATGAAAATAGAGCATGAAACAGTAAGAGAATGAGGAAAATCTAAATTGCTAATCAGAAGCTTGTTAGCACTTCCTCCCAAACTTTAAAAAAAGAATTGAATCATTGAGCCTTGATGTACAAGCACATTGGTATACAAGCACATTTTACATGTAATATTTTTCTGCATTTGGTTTAATTTTTACCTGTTTTAGGAGTTTCAAGTTAATGTGCTTTTGAAAATAGCTCCAAATAGAGAAACTGTGATATTTTAGCATGTGATTCTTTTTTATTTAGATTTATATGGGCATGGCTGTTGTCAAAGTGATTCTGAAGGGCAAACAAACTTTTAAAATAAAAATAATATAAATCATTAAGACATACAGCATAACCTCAAGAAAGAAAAAGGGCAGTTCAATAGGCATTCCTTCAAAGTGTAAATGCTAAGTTGACTTTCTATTCCTTTCCATTTCTACAATACATAATGCAAATGTAAAATTTTATCCATTAAATACAAATCTTAATATACTTACCCACGGGAGTGTCTTCATTGATCAACAAATAAGTGTCAAAGAAATAATTTATGAAGTATGGCAATCGATTGCTCAGACCTGAAAGAGTTGAGAAATATAAAAATTATATTCATAACATTGAAGCTTTGTGTGTGTGTGTGTGTGTGTGTGTGTATTTATTTATTATTTACTCACTTATTTATTTATTTATTTATTTGGTTTGTCAGTTGCTTACAAGATAATAGGTATAAGTAAAAACATATTTATGAATACATGGATACATATAAGAAAAATAAAAGAAACAATAGGACAGGGACGGTAGGCATGTTGGTGCGCTTATGCACGCCCCCTACAAACCTCTTAGGAAAGGGGTGAGGTCAATAGTAGACAGTCTAAGGTTAAAGTTTTTGGGGTTTGGGGAAGAAACCACTCTGTTGCTGAAGTCGTATTTCCTGCAAACAAGTTTGGTGTGATTAAGCTTGAGTTTGCATCTATTGTTTGCTGTGTTGTTATGGTTGAAGCTGAAGTACTCATTGACAGGTAGGACATTGCAATGTATGATTTTATATACTATACTTAGATCAGACCAAGGTTTAGTTCTAGGTTTTCTAAGTCTAGAATTTCAAGTCTGGTGGCATAAGATATTCTGCAATGAGTAGAGGAGTGGAGAACTCTTCTTGTGAAATATTTCTGGACTTTCTCAACTGTGTTAATATCAGATATGTAATGTGGGTTCCAGACTGATGAACTGTATTCGAGTATTGGTCTAGCAAATGTTTGTATGCTCTAGTTAGTAGTGTGATATTACCAGAGAAAAAGCTACATAGGATTAGGTTAACAACTCTTAATGCCTTTTTGGCTATGTAGTTACAGTGGGCTCTAGCACTTAGATCATTAGAGATGACTACTCCAAGATTCCTTACAGAGCTTGGATCATCAACAAGGTCTTGACTATTCAGCTTGTATTTTATTTTCTGATTTTTTTTGCCAATATGTAAGACAGAGCATTTATTTGTTGAGATTTGAAGTTGCCATTTGTTTGACCATTTTGATACATAGTGGAGGTCTTTTTGAAGGGTAGCAGTATTGTCTGTGGTGTTGAATAGCTTTACATCATCAGCGAAGAGAACACAGTTGCTCTTAATATGATCACAGAGGTCACTTATATAGAGTATGAAGAGAGTTGGTCCTAGAACACTGCCTTGGGGGACACCACTGTTGACAGGTACAGAATTTGATAGGACGCTCCCAATTTTGACCATTTGTTGTCTGTTTGACAGGAATGCTTCTGTCCAGTTATGCAGGTGTCTAGAGATACCGTAAGATTTTAGTTTTAGGAGTAGTTTGTCATGTACCACTGAATCAAAGGCTTTACAGAAGTCTATGTGATTGACTTCTGACACAAATAGATTGTGTCTATTGCTTTGCCCTGATCGAGTTGTGTAGTCCATATGTTTTTGCAGTGTAAGAGTTGCAGATTACAGGTTAGTTTTTTTCTGAAAACAAATTGTTTATTGGAGAGTAGGTTGTTTGTCTCTAAGTGGAGGATAATGGATTGGTTAATAATTGATTCCATGATTTTACAGATGACGCAGCATAAGGAGATTGGTCTGTAATTTTCAACTAGGCTGGGGTCTCCCTTTTTGAAGATGGGGATGACCGTGGCTTATGACCATAGTTTTGGCAAGGAGCTGGTCCTGAAAGATTTTTCAAAGATTATGCTTAGAGGTTCGGCTATAGCAGTGGACAGCTTTTTTAAGAAGTAGGCACATATTCCATCTGGTCCAATAGATAGGGATGGTTTTAGATTGCGCAGTGCTTTTTCAACAATGTCTTCTATAAAATCAATATGTATTAGATCATTGTAGTTGTCTGTGGTTCAACTAGGAACTATTGGGCTTGATCCATTGCTATTTACAAATACTGAGCCAAAGAATGTGTTAAAGAGGTTTGCTTTGATGGTGTCATCATTAGGTCCAATTGGTCCTTTCAGGGGTGGGATGGACCTTGGCATTAGGTCCTTTCGGGGGTGGGATGGACCTTGAGTCTTTTAGTTTGTTGTTTACAAAATTGTAGAAAGCTATCTATTGGACTGGACAGAATATGTGCCTACTTCTTAAAAAAGCTATCCACTGCCATAGCCGAACCTCTAGGTCCAAAAAGATAACAAGTCAACTACAATAAGGAAGATGCCCTACAGGGCATTTGTATCCATGGTGAATAAATTTTCTCCATAGAGCAGAAGTAGAGTAAGGGAAAATTAATAAATACTTTTCTCATCTGTGTTATAAAATAGACACATACCTTTCTTCATGATTATACAGATTAACTGCATTTTCCAAGAATTCAAAATGTATATTTGGGAAATATTTTACAGCAACACATTCATACTCCTGTGATAGTAGGATTAAATGAAGCTAATTCACAAACTCTTTATTTCTAATTATTTCATTTATATCCCACCTTTTTCAGGCAATGATTATCAACACAGGCATCATATAGCTTATTGCTGCTGCTATAAGAGCCGCAGTGGTGCAGTGGTTAGAATGCAGTACTGCAGGCTACTTCAGCTGACTGCCAGCTGACTGTAATTTGGCACTTCAAATCTCACTAGGCTCAAGGTTGACTTAGCCCTCCATCCTTCTGAGATCTGTTGGGGGCAATATGCTGACTCTGTAAACTGCTGAGAGAGGGCTGTAAAACACCGTGAAGCAGTATATAAGTGCTATGGCTATTGTTATATACAGATCTTTTCCTGAAGCATTTTTTTTTTAAAAAAAACTTATTTTCCTCTTGATGCATGGGAGTGGAATAGAAAATGTGTCATTCTTCCTTAGCTCATTATAAAACTTAAAAGTTATCTGTGATCCTTTTGCACCTAGACAGTCTTGATTCCACCTCAGTCTCTCTTCCTTCTAGTAACAAACTTCATTACTTTGCTAATATGAGTAAATAAACATATGTATGATTGGTTCGTTGCATTACAGCTTATTTATTCAGAGGGGGTTTACAGCAAGAAGTTACAGAAATACAGTCTTGATTCTCTGATATTATCTATTTCCTATCTATTATTATTTATTTCCAGAGCACCTCCACTGTCAAGAAGTTTCTTTACATAATGCTATTACAGTCATAGAAAGCACTTCTCTTTTATTTCTGTTTTAAACATAAGAAACTGTGGTTGTTTTCAAGAAACCACACAAATCAACATATGGGTTGATCAGAAAGAAAAAGTCAAAGCCAAGACATACCAAAGTATAAAGAATGAACGGCCCCTCGGATATGAACTAAAAAAAAAGTTTGATTATAATAGAGATGGCAGCTAAAGTAATTTCCTGCACAGGTTTGAATGTACATATGACAGATGGGTTTACTTTGGTTTCCAGCCAGTGTTACCGAAGCCAGCACTGTGTCTTATTAAGAGATCCACTTTAGCTGCCAGACTTTATTGAACAAGAAAAATAGGGTATTTAATTGGCCTGTCAGAAATATTTTGCATCTTAATTCTACAGAATCCAGCCACTCACTTACCCATAAAGCAGTTGCCAGTCCTTAACGCAAACTACCAATAGAATAACTGAAGGATTACTGGCCAGCAGCATAACCAAATGAGCTTTTGACAGGGTATTGTGAAATATATATATTATAAACCTCTACAATCATCTAGCAGCTCAGAAAGATATTCCAGGAGTGGTTTTCTTGACAATCCATTAATGCCACTCCATGAATGAATGTGTCATACCTGAAGTGCTTGGAATAGCATCTTTCACTGCTCATGAAATCTTTAGCCTTTCCATTTAAAGGTAAGGAAGTTATTCCTATCAATATCTCTTTTGAAGCAAGCTCCCTTGAACAATTGGAATTCTGAATAAATATTCACTAGATTAGGAACACAAAAGAGTTATGAGTACAAACGCACTGAAGGTCTATAGACGTTGTTATATATAGGGGGCAACCCACCATTCAGTGAATGTTGAAACTTATCATGGTGCTGAATGGGTGGTACTTTATTAAATTTATATGCTGCCCATCTTGCTATCAAGAGTGGCTTTGGCTCCAGGTATCACGGTTTCTGCCATCACATCACCCCTGCAGTTACATGATCACCATCTGGGTACTTGACAACCTGATCTGATTGTTGCAATGTCCTGCAGTCACGTAATCATAATTTGTGATTGTCCCTGCCAGCTTCCCATAAGAAAAATTTATGGAGAAACCATCAGGATGTCAGAAATCACAGCAATTTAAGGTCCTCACTTAATGACCAATAGTGATTCTCTTAACAATGGTACCAGGGACTGGCAGAACTGCCATTGTTAAGTTCCATGGTCACATGCTGCCCACTTTGTGACCACATTTAGTAACAGAAATTCAAGTCCCAATTACCCTCATTAAGCGAGGTGTACCAATACTCTATAAAGTATTGGAATAGGAAGAGAGTTATCCAAGCTTAGTTGTCCCCATCTGCCAGAAAAATTATCAGAGTGATTTTGAGACAGTTGCCATCCACAATTTATCTTGCAGACCATATTTTGCCTTTTAAAAAAATATAAGGGATGCAAAGTGTGTTCAACTCACATTTAATTCCAATTCCACTAAATGATCTATAACTCGCATATCAGTACCTGGTATAGATGTCATAGGAAGCAACTATTGTACCAGTTCTACTTCTTCTAATTATGTACCAAACAGCAGATACAGAACATGAAAATACTTCCTCTTTAATTCATCTCTATAGCATCTACTCTACTTTATAACCTCTGAAAAATTTAAAATTTGCATTCTCTTCCCAAAGCATAACATTTTATATAAATAAAGGACTGTCAAAAGGATGATTTTAGGACTGAATAATTAAGAATTAAATATATTTTTCCTCCCAACTTTTTTAGAAGGTGTATTACTAATTTGTAAATATCTTCCTTGTTATATCTTGCTTTTAGAATAGGAAAAAAAGTGGCAAACTTTTAAAAAAAACATTGACATGTCATTCAATAAGCAAAGCTCATTGAAAGATGGTGTTTTTGAAATGCACATGTTGTGTGAAAAGTTATGCCAGTATACAACAGAGGAAGGAAAACAGATGGAAGCTTCTCTCATGGGTGGTATAGATTTAGCAGCATTTGGGTTCTTTCCACAATATGAGTGTTCCTTTGTTTCTCATAAGTTAAAATGTTTCAAGATTTAGAACCATATTTATTATCATTTAAAAGCACAATTAGGTTTTAATGCATTTTTCAGAAGTGTTGGAAATTCCAAAAAAGGTTTAAGATTATTTAAATCTAAGAGCCAAGAGCTTTGAGTCAGAAACTGCTGTTCCATGTAACCTTCTTGGCAGTACGTTCATTGTCTGATGCAGCTGTTTAGTCTATGCACCTTCCTTCCTTCCTGATCTTGTAAGCAAGCACTGAAGCAATGTTTATGTTTAACTCCCTTCTGATGTAGCAGAAATATCCACTGAGTGAAGACTTCGTAGTCCTCAATAAATTTTGGTAATGTTTATACCCACTAGAAATATATCAAGAGTTCCACAGATATAGAAGGAATATTTCTCCCAGATTTTATTGAAATATACAGAAGTTGAAAACAAAGCAGTCTACTAACCAACAGCCAACCATCCACAGACATTATTTGATATGAAATGAACTACATTAATAGTTGGAACTGCCTTGGGAATTAGAAGGAATGGAAAATAGAAAATAACTCTTTCTGCATGGAAGTTCCATTTTATTGGTCACAAAAAATATCTTCTTTTAAACTTAAATCCCTGAAGTTCCACTGAATATCAGTACAATCTTTTAAACACCTCTTGTCCCATTTTTCCTGGTTGTAAAATAACTATAGAAAATTTCTTTAAAAATGGTATGTAAACAAACAGTGATGCAACAGAGCCTCAAAAAAATGAAAGTTCCTAGCTCAAGAAATTCTGTGAGATTTCTT